CCCTCCTCTCCTGCCCCCCCCCCGGAAAAAAAAGCAGACACTGGCCATTCCGTGGCCCCTGAGCATGCTCAGTCCTCATCCAGCTGCCTCATTGTTTTTTAGCACTCCCCCCCCCCCGCACCATTTTGGCTATACAGTGGTAGCTCGGGTTAAGTACTTAATTCATTCCAGAGGTCCGTTCTTAACCTGAAACTGTTCTTAACCTGAAGCACCACTTTAGCTAATGGGGCCTCCTGCTGCTTCCGCGCTGCCAGAGCACGATTTATGTTCTCATCCTGAAGCAAAGTTCTTAACCCAAGGTACTATTTCTGGGTTAGCGGAGTCTGTAGCCTGAAGCGTCTATAACTTGAAGCATCTGTAACCTGAGGTACCACTGTATAAGGATCGGCCCGCACTCCTGAGCCTCACCAATAGAGGGAACGGTAAGTAAAGATGCGGGGATTGTGCGTGGCCTTCTCATTTTGATCCGCTTTCTGTGCAGGCCTTGAGTGTCCGTCCGCCACCAGCTGAAAAGACCCGGCTGCAGAAGCTGGAAGAAATCCTCCTGAAGATGCGCAACCCCACAAATATCATACAGATGCCACTAGGTATTTATTTATTTCATAAAATTAACACACCACTTGCTTGCAGAAAGAAAGGAGAAACCTCTGAGCGGATTACAAACAAGGTAAAGCAACAAAAGGATCAGTGAGAAAAATTAAGAAAAATGAGCAACACTTAGTTCTGTTGGTGGGGGACGTGGGGGACGCTGTGGTCTAAACCACTGAACCTCTTGGGCTTGCCGATCAGAAGGTCAGTGGTTCGAATCCCTGCAACGGAGTGAGAGCTCCCATTGCTCTCTCCCAGCTCCTGCCAACCTAGCAGTTTGAAAGCACACCAGTGCAAGTAGATCAATAGGTACCGCTCCGGTGGGAAGGTAAACAGCATTTCCGTGCGCTGCTCTGGTTTCACCAGAAGCGGCTTAGTCATGCTGGCCACATGACCCGGAAAAAACTGCAGACAAACACTGGCTCCCTCGGCCAGTAAAGCTAGATGAGCGTCGCAACCCCAGAGTCCTTCGTGACTGGACTTAACTGTCAGTGGTCCTTTACCTTTACCTTTTTTAGCTCTGTTGGTTAGAAGGTGGTGCTGAGAATGCCAGGGTTGCAGGTTCGATCCCCGTTTGGGGTAGCTGCCCTTTCCTGCTTTGCAGGGAGGTTGGACTGAATGACCCTCAGGGTCCCTTCCAACTCCACGATTCTATGAAACCTTTCTATGAAGGTTTTCTTTTCTATGAAAAGTTAAAACAAATATAGACTAAGAGATTAAGACTCACTCACACAGCAACGCTAGCCTGTTTTCCATCTAACCTCCCTTGCTCCTCTCTCAGCTGGCAGAAGAAGAATACAGTGGTACCTCGGGTTAAGTACTTAATTCATTCCGGAGGTCCGTTCTTAACCTGAAACCGTTCTTAACCTGAAGCACCACTTTAGCTAATGGGGCCTCCTGCTGCCGCTGCGCTGCCAGAGCACGATTTCTGTTCTCATCTTGAAGCAAAGTTCTTAACCCGAGGTGCTATTTCTGGGTTAGCGGAGTCTGTAGCCTGAAGCGTCTATAACCTGAAGCGTCTGTAACACAAGGTACCACTGTACATTATGCAAATGCAATGAAAAACAGACCTGCCTGACTGCAGTTTGGTTCTGTTAATAAGAACACAAGAGGCTGCTGGACTGGGCCAATGGCCCATCTAATGCAGAATCCTGTTCTCACAGTGGCCAACCAGATGCCTGTGGGAAACTGGGAAGCAGGATCTGAACACAAGGGCCCTCTCCCCTGCTGTGGTTTCCAGCAACTGGGATTCAGAAGCATCACTGCCTCCAGCTGTGGAAGCAGAGGAGAGCCATCGTGGCTGGTAGCCAATAGCTCTCCATGCATTTGTATAATCATCCTCCAAAGCCATCCCAGTTGGTGGCCATCATTACCTCCTGTGGGAGTTCCATAGTTTAGTTGTGTACGGCATGAAGAGGCTCCTTCTTTCCCGCGTTCTTTGCAGTGTGCATCCTGCGGAGGAAGAAGGACAACTGGCGCGAGTACCGGCAGGCCCTGGCGATGCTGAAGGAGTTCCGGAAGGAGTATAAAGCGGCCGTGGCCAGCTGCAACAAGCAGGTCGAGTCCAAAGCCATTAGTAAGAAGGGTACCAGCGCAGAGGAGACGAGTCAAAACTTGATGCTCGAGGGTCTCCCGGAGGCCGAGGTGGGTGGGCAGCCGCTTGAAGAATCCTTGGTCCCTACGGAGGAGAAAGGATTTTCTCCATCCAATCCGAAGAAAGCTCATTTTAAACCGGACTGCTGAAGAACCTCCTCTTTTTACAAGACATAGAGCTATTGCCGTATTTTCCGAAGAGCCCCTTGTCCTAGGAGGCCATAGTGGTGTAACTAGCAACCATAGGAACGGAGGTTACCTACTTCCAAAACCCTCTGCGAAGGTTTGACCCGCTCAGGGTTACAGGCTAAGAGTAGTCCAGGCTCCACTTCAGTGCAGATGTTCAGAAGCGCAACAGAAAACCGACGGGAACCGCTAGGCGCACTCCGAAAGGCTGTTTCAGGATGCAGTTCCCATCTAAATCATGAGACTTGAACCCGGGCAGCCGCCGCAAAAGCAGTGAAATAAATGTGTCATGGTGGGCCTCCGGTTTTATCAAATGACTACGGCCTAAGTCCCCCCTTTTACAATTGTTCAGATGGAAGAAGCTTGGTAGAATCTGTTGGGAGAGGGAAAGAAGTCATGCCGAGACAGCTTTCCATAGAAGCAATGACCGGCACAGAAAGGCTCTGTCACACTTCCAGTGCCTTATTGTAAGACCCCAATTGCCCATGTAGTTTGCTAGACATTTCCCCACTTCCCTTCTGCTTGCCCCAAACCAGGGGTGTCGGTAAAGGGGCAGGTTGTCCCTTGCACACTTCTTTTGCTTTGCAGGTTTAAATTGCCCCCGGCACCTCACGACCGCTTGCCCCGACTCTTTCGTTTCCCCTTAGGCTGTGGCTCTAGGGGAAAAAAAAGTAATTAAATATTTAATCCTTAAGGTAATTGTGCAGTTAATATTCTGCTTTATGTACCCGATAATCCTTCACAATCCACTCTCTGAGCTCGAAGAGAATTGGCATTTGCAGATGTGGTCTTTTCAGATCAGTTAGCTAAACCACCCAGGAGCAATTCATGGGCCAAACCTCGCTGTTTCTTTTACCAAGGCAGAATTCCCTCCTAAGACAACTCAAGATTAAAAGGGCAACCATTTAAATTAGTACAGTACTGCAGGGAGGGAGAGGCAAGAGCAATGGCCACCCCAGCAGCAGTCTTATCATGTACACACACGACCCCACCTCAGTCCCATTCTTCCTCATACTCCAGACTTCCGAGTCCCATGGCTTTTCCCCCATGCGCTCAGGCAGAATGGCTTGGCTTCCTCACACCGAGTCACCGTCATGTTTTCTCTAGATTCAAGCACTTCTCTTTTGCCCATGCATCGGAATGCCTGCAACTCATTCCCTGAGCATGTACATGGAGCATGAAGGCATATGCCCAGAGATCAGTTCGGCCTGTTTCCTCTGTGAGGCCCCTCTCTGGAGCATGAAGCACATTTCACCTTCTCAGATCAAAATCTATTTTTGTTGCACAGAACTCTCTAAAATTCCTTGAAACCCAAGCCAGTCTGGGGCTGCATTCTACCTTGTTGGTACAGTGGGGCAACTAGACAAAGGTAGGGAACGAATGTTTGCATGCATAGGCTACTGAATGTGCGTCTGAGTAGGCCTTGGAAAATTCTAAGAAACTTGTAAGTAGATGGAAGAAATAAAAGCATTTCTAAAGAAGTGTTAAAATCACCACTGCTGGATCAGCATGGAAGATGGGCTAAGTCCCCTCCCCCTTCCAATTTATCTGACTGCTAGTTAAGTATTGATCCTTGTTCAGGGTGGCAACGTAGGTAAAGCTACGCTAAAGGGGGTTGTGGCTGAATAACTACAAAAATGATCCACTCTCCACAGTCATTTCCTGGTCAACTCAACTATCTTATTTTAGGTGGAGGGGCTTGTCAAAGAGGGAGATTGAGGAAAGCATGCAATTTCATTTCATTAGAATCAGTAGCTGGGTTGGGTTAAAGGACATCCACTTTTCTTTTCCTTTTTACTGTTGCAAACCCCCTTCCCCCACCCCCCAAAATCCATTTCTAAAAACTTAGTGAGGGAGACTTGTGTACCTTTACCCATAAAGACAGACACACGCATTCGTTTCTCAGTAAACAGATTTGTTTTATCAAAAAATCTGATGAAGCCACAGTGATTCAGTTGCGATCCCAAAAATGATGCTTTGTCTTGTACTGCACTGGTTTTCAAGTACCCAGCGGAGGATACACACCAAAGCACAAAATGATTTAAAGCATACTGCGGGGAGGGGGGCGGTGTTGGGAGAAGGGAAGTAGATAAATGCAGCAACATCAATTTTTCTGGGAACAGTCTGACAGTAAACACCAGTAGAACCTAGCTTACACAAAATCCCACCAATGGTAACCAAAAAAAAAAAGGTTTTTTCTTTGTTTGCATAGTGGATAGCTAATTCTATACCTGCTTGCAGTGTTTGAAATAGTTGGGAAAGGAACAATGTTTTCCATCAGATTCCTAATAACACAACATTTAGGAAGATGGTGGCACCAGCTGTAGAGTTCAGCAGTGCAGTTTTGACCTTACTGTGGAGACTCAGCACAGAGTATCTCACAGACCAGCGTCGAAATTGATGGACTTTCACATCCAGTCAGTTCTTGGGCAAGGAATGTTACTTTGAAGCGACTGCCTCTGGTCCTCTCCGAGAGCTGAAACTGGTTTTGGGCGGCACCTTCCTGAAGGCAAGGCCGCCTTAATCCACCGGTAAAGATGAAAATCAAGATGCCAGCGTGATCCTTTTTAAAAGCCCCACAAGAAGCGTTGTGGGTGCTCGTTGAAGCAAGGTTTGTTTTTTGTCCCTTTTTTTGGGGGGGGGGGGAATCAATGCATTATAGAAAGTCTTTTAAGGCTTGTACTTTCCTCTTCCTTTGCCTTCATTGAGAGAACTTCAACAAAGTGCTTGGGTTTGACCTGTAGTCCATGACATGCCCCACAATACATTTGAAGAGAAAGAATACTGACAGTTATATAATAAAATGCAATACAATCATCGTACAAAATCCAATCTTTTGGCACTTTCCCCATCTTCGCTATTTCCACCGACATCCGTAATCAAGTGAAGAACTTGCATCGCTCCCTTCTCCAAACAGGGATATCCAGGAGGGTCAGAGCGGATTTTCAGGGTCAGATTGTGTCTTTGGCAGCTGCATTCATTCACTCACTGTCAAGATCTCTCCCCCCCAACTGAGCTATAAACAGAACCCCGTTTTTAAACCTCATCAGGAACCAGAAGTCTGACAAAGGCAAGAGCAGGTAAGCAGGAAGTTCACACCCACTGACATTTATGGCAAGACACTCTTTGACCTCCGTGACGGGCCCAACGGTAGTGCTCTCCTTGATAAGTAGGCAAGCCTGGGTCAGTTTCCGACCAAATGAGGGCAGATCTCTCAAAGGCAAGGGAAACACAAAAACACAAGGGCACGCTTTTAGGCGATGAGGTGGGCAACCAACCTTGCAAGATTAAGGCCCCCCACATCTATCTAGACTAAAGGGCCCCATTAATACATTCAGTGGCCTATAGGCTCATACGTCCAAAGAGATTCGTGTTTGGCATCAGGTCAGCCAGAACCTTGGGCAAAAGCACTCTTGTAGTAGTTTGCAACTGCCCTATCCAAGGGCCAGTATAGAGGATGTAAGGGCCACACAGCTAACTTGTCAGATTACATCCCTGCAGTGTTCCATCGCCACATCCCCCACTAGCTAATGACGCATGGCAGGGAGGTTCACAGCCGTGACTTCATCTAATAAGTGATCTCTCGCTCACACACATGTACACACACACACACGCAAGAGACTTGTTTGGCCTCCTACTCCTGAACCTTGTTCACGTCCTGAAACAGTCGTGTCTGCGTTCCATACACACCCCTCTTCCGGAATGCCTGCATTTGAAACACCAAGCTGAGGCCGCTCGCCCACTGAACAGATCCACTTGCAGAATGTGCTTCGGTTTGGAGCTTCACGCAGCAAAATCGCAGGGGATAATATTGCTCGAAGCTACCAACATGAGTCTGACCAAACTGCGGGATGCAGTGGAAGACAGGAGTGCCTAGCGTGCTCTGGTCCAGGGGGTTACGAAGAGTCGGACATGACTAAACAACAAATACTGCTCCTTGTTCCCACTTCCAGACCTTGCCCTGTATTACAAAGAGCATATAGCAGATCTCTGTTTGCAAGAGGGCTAGAGCTCTTTTGCAACTGGTGTGTTTCCTTCAAAAAGGAGGAAAGTCCCAGAATGCTACTGGGCGCCCCTTAGGCCATAGGGCTACTTAAATGGTCCACTGCTATGTGCAGGTACATTACATTCCTCAGGGTGCTCAGATTGGCTTCGCTTTCCTTCCAAGCGCATAATCAGTCAAAAATCTGGGTTTGTTCCTATATAATTTGTGGAGTTGTCCTTTGTGCCTCTTATCATGAAATCCTGATGACCCCACAAAGAAAAGTGCAGCCATAGGCAGTCTCTTGTCTGAGACCACATGGATGGCACTAGACCTTTTCACAACATATCCTGGAAGTAGACTGCTGGTGAGAAGATACCACATGGGTAAAGCTTTGCTTCCCTACCTTTCCCACAGACTGTCAAGACCAAGACCATGCTTTTCCAAATTCTATGGCCTAAGGGCCATATCACACATCTGACTTCGCCATTGCTTCTGCCATCCCAGTTTGCCAACAGGTGTACCTTGAGGATGCCCTGTGTTTCTGGCACTCACTTAAATCACTTGTACACCCCAAGGGTGTACTGATCAAAAGTCTAACATCCGTGGGTGAAGAGGCCTTCACTCTCACCCATTCATTGTTACCAGTAATGAGACATGGCAGAGTGATATTCTCTGTTGCTCCATGCCAGCCTTAAGCCGGAGCCTTTAGCATTCATCTCCTGCCAGGGCCTGTGGGGCGAAGGGAACATCACTGGGCCCTAAATGGGTCTTGAGCACTGAGCCCCTGCAACATGCGCCGGGACAACATGGAACAGGCAGCCTGACTACCTGTGTGCAGTAGAGCAACAAAAGAACTGGAAATCCACATAGTTCTTCCAGTGATGATCCTAAATTCCCATTAAGAAACATGATCATCAGCTCACCCGAATTATGTTACTCGATGTGCGATCACTTGGAAAAAGTGCTCTACATTCACCAGAGATTATGCTGAAATAAGCATCTGAAGTGAACTCATACTTTCCAAGTTTTTAAGGCCCAGTTCTCCTCCTCAGAAGTGGCTTTCCAATCCCCTTTTATTACCAAGGGGCCACATCTTTCCAAAGGGCCTGAAAAGGTCTGGTCTCCATAAGGGTTTCCTTACTGTAATGGCAGTCTTTGGCATGTTGAGAATAGTACTGATTGCTTCCAGGTTTTCAGCAAGGAAACACTGCATTTTACATAAGCATTTTCTGTCTCTAACAGATCAGCAAAATTTAAGGTTGCAGTTCTACTCAAGCTTACCAAAAAGTGAGCCCCACTGAAATCTGTGGGGCTTCCTTCTAACTAAATATGATAGAATGGTAAGGACCTAAGGAAATGAAGCAAAAGTGAAACCAAAACATACTCTAGTTCTGTTTGCCAGGAAAACAAACCAATTTGGAATTAGTTCAAAGGGCGAGAGCAACACTTTCCTCCACTTAGTTTTTAGAGAATTCTCTTACGTGCCAGATTTGCTTGGTCCAAGCAAGTGTCAAGGCTGATGCTAGACAGTGCAGACCGCAAGAGCTCTGCCCCTCCAGCAAACAGCTGTAGAGAGGAAGTTGCAGGATAACCAAGGAAACTCCGCAAGGCAGAGTTGGAATGAATGAGTCAGGCTGGAAGACAGGTGGGGGTAACTCTCTTGCCAGTGATCCAGGAAGCCTTGAGAAGAGTATGCCAAGTTTTAGCTTCCCACCTCCAAAGGGATACAGCAGCACAACACAGAAACCTGGGTCTACAAGTGACTGTTGAAGTGCTAAGCACATTTTTAAACTGCAACCTGTTTTTAGAGATTACAAGTTTCCACCCACTGAGAGCTTCTTTGGCTCTAACCATACTAGGGTGATGTACTTATAGACTATTTACTCTGTATTTCACCTTTTGTGGCTTTCAACTTTTCTTGAGCAGCAAACCCAGAGGCCTCAATGTCAATCTATCATGCTACGTAGTTCAAAGGGGCTTAAAAACACCTACTCCTAGTGTGGGACAAACCTGGCTGATTGCAGTGGCCACTTCTGAAGTCATCATGAGTCAACTTATCCTCTTCAAATTCTTACGACAAAGCAGGCTTGTGAAAAGCCTACAGCAAAACAAAAAACCCTCTGCAGCACACTAGGAAACAAGCATTACTAAAGAGATTGTAAATATGACACACTTCCACATGTGGAAACTTTAACTTGTTGACCAAGTGAGCACTGGTTAGGGCGGGTGTCCAGAAAATATTACCAACACCACCTATCTCCAATTCAAAACCCACTTTAAACAGGACAGTTTAGTCATCTGCATTGGGCCTTTCAACTCAGCAATCTCAAAAACCAGACACTGGAAGAGTTCAACAGAATCCACTCTCCACGGCCGTCTCATTCACACAACACATCCGCACACATTTCCAGTCACAGAAGTCATTCCGCTGCTGTCATAGTTTATACCCCCAAAGCTGTGCATGATGAGGACCAAGAGAAAGGCTTGGGATAACAAACAAATCGCCACGGTAGTGAGAGAGACTAGGTGCAATTTCTCTGCCTTCAGTTCTGTCTTGCCAGAGTGGGAAGCCTTGTAGTTGTACACTGCAAATCTGACTCCTATTAACATGGCCTTGGGATCAAAAAATAATCTATGGCAATGCAAACGGACTGTGCCAGGTGTTAAGAGATGGACAGCACAAATAGCAGCCACAGATCTGGCAAAAGGTTATTAGTTTGGGGTCTGTATAAACAGGCCTCCATATATGTGAATGCTCAATAATACACTGTATATTTAAATACATTCCTGTGTATCCCACAGTTCAAGTGACTGGCCTCCCTCCCTTTCAAGGCTGCTCCTGAGGTTAAAAGATCACTTACAGCAACTGGTTTCAGTGACAAAGAATGCCAATCCAATAGTGTCATCTACTCGCAACCTGGAAGCAGTTTCCATACCAATGGGACTCAGCTGTAGACACGGGTCTATGCCCTTCTGATCAGTGAAATTTAAATGCATTCCTGTGAGTGGGTCTTAAGTGTCTCAGAAGCAACTTCAGTAAAAAGAATAAAGTGTAGCCTACACCTGTGCAAAGACCTCGACTGTAGCGTGAACTGGATTTAACTCACCTTACCTTAAAAAAAAGGAAACGCAATTGGGGGGAGGGGGAGGTAGGATAACAAATCAGGTCTTCCTCCTTCCCAGATCATTTTGACCAACCTCACATTAACTAGAAAAGGCAACATTGTTCAATAAGTGCTACTTTGCACCCGTGGTGCTCTTTGACCGCAGGAAATACTGATCTGCTCTCCCTTTCCGCCTTGCCACTGTCCTGTTCTCGCTGTCAAACTTCCGCTGGAGCTGCAAGGCCAGCCGGCGGTCTTCCTCCTCCTGCTTCAGCCTCTGCTCCACCTCACTCCTCCTCCTCTTCCTCGGAGGTTCGGGAGCAGCCAGCGCCCCGTGGTGACAGGCCACCTGCCTCAGTCTCTTGACCGAGCCGGCCTGTTCCAAGTGCTTCATTTTGCACTGTCTCTTTCGGCCCCTCCTCAAAGGCGAGGCCTCGTCGCCGAGGGCTTTCTCGAGACAGACGCCGTTCGGGAAGTTGCTCCGCTCACTTTCGTTCAGGTACTTCAGCTGCTTCCTGCCGGCTGCCTTGACCGATGGGCCGAGGGCCCCGTTCTCGGGAAACTCCGAGCTGACTCGAATCACTTTCCGGGTCACCATTTTGGCATCGACGTTCAGACACGTTTCCGTCTGCCGCAAGGCTGCTTTTGCGCTGGGGACCTCAGGAATCCTGGCGTTTAGGGTGCTTTCGTTGGGTCTCGCTACGGGTGCTTTGGGCCACCGCCTCCAAGTCTCTCCTGATATTGCCAGAGCTTTCAAACTTTGAAAAACAGACGGAAGGAGAACAGTCTGTCGCTGCCTGCATGTGCGTGATGCTTTCAGGCGGCAGCACATCGTTTGATATCTGCGGGGGCTCTTTGACGAGTGAGTTCGCGCTAGGAACCAGAAAATCTTCCCCCGCCTCTGGGGCCAGGGATGTTAGGGTGGCTTTAGAAAGAGTCTTTTTCACCTGCCGTTCCTGGAAGATCTGCTCCCATTTTTTCAAGATCCTGGGACTGGCTTCGTAAGTGGTTGGCTTCTGTAAACTCCTCGTTAGGTTCCTTGGAGTAGACTTGATAATTAGAGGACTGAGAACTCCACCGTCGGGAAGCTGCTTTGGAGGTGTGCAGGGTGAACAGACAATGGGCTTGAAGTGATTGAGTTCTTCTGAAATGCTGTCATTGCTCTCGGGGCTGATCGAGCGCTCTGGCTTCTGGAGGACGGAGAAGGAAGCAGCTGCATGGAAGACAAGGCGCTTATCAGCTGTTAGGTCTGGGGCGGAGAGGCAGCGATTGTTCTGGGTGGACGATAAAACTCCAATGAGGGGAGCAGGCGTGCCAGATAACTGGTTTATCTGCAAGGAGCAAGTGGGTATCATTATTAACTGCCGTATTTTTCGCTCTATAACACACACCAGACCATAACACGCACGTAGTTTTTAGAGGAGGAAAACAAGAAAAAAAATATTCTAAACGAAATAGTGGATATATGATTTTTGTGGTTCATGCTGTGGCCACAGACATGTGATCTGACAGTGAGTTTGGAGTAGCCCAATGCAAAAATCCTGAAGATCCATGTGGATCCATGCTTTGTAACCACGGAGGAGGGAAGGAAGGGGAACCATGGATCCTCTGCTCACGACTGCAGCAGATCCCCCCCGCCACCCGCAGGCATTCGCTCCATAACACGCACAGACATTTCCCCTTACTTTCTAGGAGGAAAAAAGTGAGTGTTATGGTGCAAAAAATACGGTAATTTACACACAGCTTAATGCCAAAAGGGGTTTACAAAGCACAGTGGTACCTTCGTTTACAACCACAATCTGTTCCGGACGTCCTTTTGTAAACCAAAACAGGTTGTAACCCAAGGTGCGCTTTTGCCAATGGGGCCTCCAAAAAAAATTTGTTCCGCAATCCAAATAAAATGGGTTGCAATCCAAAAAAAGGTTGCAAACCGGGACATGCACTTCTGGGTTTGACGTGTTTGTAATCCAAAACATATGCAAACCAAGGTACCACTGGATAAAAACGATTTTCACAGATTACGTTGAGAACTGCTGCTGCTGCACATTAACATGGAAGGCAGATTCAGGGTAATAATGAAAACAGCTGTAACACAGCCCTCCAAGCACATTACAAAAAAGGGGGCAAATTCCATGTTATAGATCATTAAAAACGGGAAATGGAAATCAAACTGTCAATATCATGACGACATTATACAAAACTATGGTACAACCACACTAGATGTACTGCGCAGTTCTGGTCAACACACACCTCAAAAATGACACTGGAGAGCTGGAAGGTTAAAAAAACACACACACGACTGAAGTGATTGTGGGGCTGGAGCAATTCACCAATGAGGAAAAGTTACACAACATTTGGGGATTAATTCAGTGAAAAGGTAGATAAAGAGGGAGGCATGATAGTGGTGTATAACAATTATGGATGGTGAAGGCAAAGGGGACAGAGACAGAACAGTGCAGTACAATAGTAAGAACCCAAGGTTATTTGATGAAGCTAGATGATGGAAGATTCAGAACAGAAAGATGAAAGTTCTTATTCACAGAGTGCATAGTTAAAACTATGGCATTCACTCCCAAATGATGTAGCAATGTCCCAAACTTCAGGTGACAAGGGACAAATTCATAGAAGAGGCTCCCACTGGTTGCTAGCCATGAAGGCTGCATCCAACCTCCACTACAGGAGGCAGTAAAAGCCTCTGAAATGCCTCTGAAACCCAGCTGCTGGGATTTGCAAGTAGGGAGAGCGCTATTGCACTCAGGTCCTGCCGGGGGGTGTCTTATGGGCACCTCTGTGAAAAGAGGGTGCTAAGCTAGGTGGGTCTTTGGCTTGAGTCAACAACAAACTGCCCCATGGAAGCACCCACAGGACCCTCTGCAGTAGTAAAGGAATATGTCAAGAAACACACATTCAGTATTACAGAAAGGCCAGCAGATGCAGCAGCCCCCTGGTCAAATCAAAGACTCTGCAATACAGTGGTACCTCAGGTTAAGTACTTAATTCGCTCCGGAGGTCCGTTCTTAACCTGAAACTGTTCTTAACCTGAAGCACCACTTTAGCTAATGGGGCCTCCCTGCTGCCGCCGCGCTGCCGGAGAACGATTTCTGTTCTCATCCTGAAGCAAAGTTCTTAACCCGAGGTATTATTTCTGGGTTAGCGGAGTCTGTAACCTGAAGTGTATGTAACCTGAAGCGTATGTAACCCGGGGTACCACTGTATAGCTCAGGACATTTTGAGGCAGTGGAACCCAACACGATAGCCACCATTTTCAAAATCATCATCACCTTTGTTCTGACTGGAGCTGATCTTTGCCTGCTTTTGGATCTTTCTCGAAGGGTATCGTTGCAACTCTGGCTCCTTTCTACCTTGGAGCTCAAGCTTCTAAAAAGATGTAAAGAAAACAAAAGCTTAGTGGGGAAAGCACAATAAATTAACACAATGCCTACATAATGCTATCATTAAACACCAGTTTGATCTTTCTGCATTATCTTCCTCTTCGTCTCACCTGCGGGAAGGTACAGGCACAGACCCACAGTATATATGCAGGTAGACTTACATGTATTGAACATAGTACTGTTCTGGTTAGCCACATCCCTCTATCTAGAAATCATATTTCACTAGTTTTAGTTTTATTGCTTCTAATGGACTGAGCTTTATTTTAAATGTTGTGAACCCATTAGTAATAAGGATACTTCAGATATGGTATAAAAACCATTTATTTTTTACTAATGGCCCATGACCTACAGAGGGTCCCCTCACCCAGAACATGAAGGGGCTGTGAAATCTTTATAGAGAGGAGCTCCAACTGTTCAGCATTTCTGGTCCACATGATTGCCAAGAAGATTGCAAAGCAGGCAAACAAAATCCAGCTAAATTGCCCCCCTTCACGCCACACTGCCCCCCCTTACAGCTCCACAAAAACCAGGAGTCACAATTTCCTTGTGCCCCAGTCCCTGTAACACATCTGCATAAATGTGCACACAATTTCGAAGTGGTTTCTAATTTGCAGTTTATTCCAGGACAAATTCTGGGACGCTATAACACAGTCCAGAGTCATCTGCTCACTCTCCTAATATTCCCTGCCCCACCTCTCTCCACTGTCTTAGCTGGAACTTTCCCCTAAAGACAACCCAGAGAGTGACCAAGGACTTACCCTGCCACCAATGCTATTGAGTAGGTGCTTCCCTTGGAGACAAAAGCTGACCGATGTGCAGATTTGCCCTGGAATGGTTCCTCATTCTCAGAATCAGAGAGGCGTTCCGGAAACTGAAGGGATCAAGGAAAGATTAGTTGACACTTTCCTTATTTATAACAATCTTTTAAACCGCCAACTCACAACAAGTACCAATGTGGCATACAGTGGACCACAAACAGCCTCACTCTGGCAATTCACTGCTTCTTCCAACAGTGTTTTGAGCCTCCGTTCCGCAGAGCAGTTACGTTTGAAGTACGCACTGAGCGGAGGGGGATTTGTTGGCAGTAACCAAATTTGAGACAACAGGAGAAGAACAAAAGAAGAGCCTTTCTGCTGGATCAGATCAAAGACCCATCTTGTCAAGCATCCTGCTTCCCTTTGTGGCCAACTAGATGCCCCTGGGAAGCCCAAAAGCATAACACAGAGGCAAACGGCTCTTTCTCCCGCTCTTCTTCCCCAGAGGCTAGAATGCAAAGGGATACTGCCTCTGTGTCTGAAGGTGATTTACATCACTGTCAAATAGATTTCTACATGCTCATCACTGCAAAGTCTCAGGGAAGTCTTTTTAGGAAAGCTTTTAATGTTTGATGTATTACATTATTTTAATATTTTTGGAAGCTGCCCAGAGTGGCTGGGGAAGCCCAGCCAGATGGGCGGAGTATAAATAATAAAATTATTATTGTTGTTGTTGTTATGTAAAAAAACTCACAACAGTAAAATCCTGACCAGTATATAGCCACATGGTTTCAGAGTTAAGGGACTAAAATACAGTGGTACCTCGGGTTACGAATTTAATTCATTCCGGAGGTCCGTTCTTAACCTGAGGCGCACTTTTGCTAATGGGGCCTCCCGCTGCCGTGCGATTTCCGTTCTCATCCTGGGGCAAAGTTCTCGACCTGAGGTACTACTTCCGGGTTAGCGGAGTTTGTAACCCAAAGTGTTTGGAACCCGAAGCGTTTGGAACCCAAGGTGCCATTGAAATATGGCAGCTATGGCTATTCACGACTAATAGTCACGATGGCTAGATTTATATCCAACATCACAGGGAGTATGCCTCTGAATACCAGTCACCGGGGAATTACAGAGGGAAAGGGATACTAGCCAATCCAGTTTCTATGCCTGGGTCCTAAAATCCTTAGCTCATCAACATCCCATGGGAGATTACTCTGTACCTCTTGATACACATGTCTGAAAGCGAGTCCTACTGAAATCAACTAGGCTTTCTTTTGAGCAAAGTTTTAAGGTTAGGCTTGTCATCTAGGTAAATCAGGGGTGGGCAAAGTTTACCTCGCCTGGGCCGGTTCACTCCAGCGGAGATCCCTCCGTGGGCCGGATCGCATGTATGAGAGAGAGAGCGCCCGCAATTTCCGGTGTTTGCACAGACACGATTTCTGGCGCCACGGAAGAAAGTCCCCGCACCGCGCTGTGCCAGTTTAGCGCAGTGCACGGGCAGCTTGGTTCGGGGGCGGCTCGGGAGCCGGTTAAACAACCCCCGTGGGCCGCTTGTGGCTCATGGGCCTTAGGTTGCTGACCCAAGTTAGATGCCCCCTTCTCCTATCCCACTCAGCATTTTGTCCGCACATTCATGTAGTTATAGCTAGGGAGGAGGAGCCCGCTCAGCACTTTCAATCCCTGCAGTCCATGTTCGTGGGAATCTTTGTCCTGTGTTGGTTCACACAGCTGAACAACAAAATCTGTGGCTTCCTACGGAAAGACGTTCCGGAGGAAGCAAGGTCTCAAAAGTTCCTCCTTCAATTCTGCACTGAATTTGGTGTGGCCATGAACCTGACAATAAAGTCCCAGGAGAAGACAGTGTGCCATCGTCACGTGACATAGACCCTAGTGTCTGCAAGATATTTCTAGGAGGAACACCCAAATTATTGGCTTCTGCATTAAAAGCAGCAGTATTTTTTTTTATCCTACATCCACCATATGGACTGTAACTTATGGTTACCAGATTCTTTTCAATGAATCCGGGGACACTTTTTTTTTTTTAGGAAGCTGAGTAGCAACAGGGAGTCAGTAGTGGGGATGGCGAGGCAAAAGACCCTGGGCCCAAGCACACATGCATATTGTATAAAGGCGCAAAGCCCTTCTTTTGCACCCTGTGAAACATAAATGTGCAGAGTTTTTTAAAAAAACTGGACAATGGCGTGCCGCATGCCTGTGCCTCCTGAGCCTCCCCCGATCTCCTGCCCCCTTCCCCCTTTGTTTTGACAGATCAGGGAGGCTCGGGAGTCGCGGGCGGGTGGCTGTTGCCCAGGAAGGGCGCAAGGCGCACGGTTTCTCTGCCAGGTAAGGTGCAAAGCCCTTCTTTCGGACCCTGTGAAACATAAATGTGCAGTTTTTAAAAAACTCCGCAACTCCCGAGCCTCCCCCGATCAGTCAAAACAAAGCGGGAAGGGGACAGGAGATCTGTACCGCCGGACGTCCCCAGTTCTCCTTCGGCAGTGACAGCGGCAGTCAGCAGGCTAGAGTCAGCCTGGTAGCGCAGTTGGCTCTGGCTGGCCCTGGGCTGCTGAGGCTGCCGCTGCCACGTTTCCCAGGGACAGATTTGCAAATCCGGGGACTATCCCTGGGAACTGGGGACATCTGGTAACCCTACTGTAAATAAATCATAGTATTTTGGGGGGGGCACTGCACATGCTTTGCCCACAAAAGGTTCAATCTCTGATGCCTCCAGGCTACCCTGGCTATAGCAGGTAGGTATACAGGTTTTTTTTGGTGGTGGGGAGACAAAGCAGCATAGCACAACCCACAGTTACTTACACGTTCTTGGGTCATTTTGACCATTAAGGACTCCTCTTTCTTCTGATCTTCTGTTTTTCTTTTCCCTGCATCAGTAGTGTCCTCAACAATCAGCTTGTGAATAAAATCATCAGAGGTTCTCTCTTCTTGCAGTTTTTCATCCCTCAACTAGAAGCAAATGAGAATTCATGTCCTGGTTTAATCTTGCTTTGGCTGCTGCTCTTTTTTTAAAAATGCAGCTGTTTTATTACTGCGGCTACATTTGGGTGCCACAGTTAAAGAGAGACATTGACCAATTGGAGTGTGTCCCAAGACGGGTGACCAGGATAGTGAGGAGACTGGAAACCAAACTGTATGACAAATGATGGAAAGACCTGGATCTCTTTAGCCTGGAGAAGTGCCTTTTACACTGATTTTAAGGCAAAACCTTCCAAAGCAGTTAACGTAACTTAAAAACAAAGCAATCTATTGAAATACAATAAAACAGCTGAACAACGGTAACGTTAAATCCAGATAAAACACATCATTAAAACCTGAAAACACTAAAAGGTGGAAACAAATGAAGATAGTCTTCACCTAGCACTGAAAAGGTCTCAGACTCTGCATCATGTAGACCTCCCTGAGAAGAACGTTTCGGAATCCAGGTCCCCCAATCAAAAGGCCCCTATTGTGGTCACCACTCACCTTGCCTGGAAGAGGCACCTAAGTTGGCTCATGGTAGCCATTTTAGAAATATAATTACTTTTTTTTGGTGTTGCAAGGTTCTGCTTTTTAAAAAATAAAAAATAAGGCAGTTATTATGGGGAAGACTGGAGCTGCAGCTCTTCGTCATGCAGAAAAGTCTCAGGACCAATCCCTGACATGTCCAGGTAGAGCTGGAAATGTCTTGTCTGAAACCCTGGAGAGACACGGCCGGTCAGTGTCGACAATATTGAGCAAGATGGAGCAAAGGTCTGACTCCTCTTTTCCTATCTATTATGCAAAAATTATAGTGAAAAGATCAGGTGTAGCATAGGACTAAATCCCAAGACTTGGCAGTAACTCCTGAATTTAGGCACGGGACAAGTCCCACCTGAGCATAGGTTTAGGAATCTGCTTCATTTGGGCCACAGTTTAAAGTTCAGAAAAGGCGTTTAAACCTTGAGAGGAAGCACATCTAAGCTCTGACAGTGTGTCTGAAGAAAAAGAGCAGGGCCAGCAAGCCAAACAGGAAGTGGACAAAAAGCTGTCTCCCAACTAACTGCACACGTGGCAGAGTCCGAGCCCCAGAAACACTTGAAAACATTTTCTCCTCAATTGCTGCAAAGGAAATCATTAGAACTATTGCCAGAAATGCTTCTACAGCATGAAGTAAATCTTAGTGCAGTTTCAACAAGGAAGCTGTGTAGGATATGCAATTCCCAGCTTCCCTTTCCTAAAGTCACCGGGCTTCTGCTGCTGCAGGCTTTAAAACTACAAGATCTGTATAAGGAATTCAGTATTTCACCTCTATGATACTGCATGCATAACATTTCTATTTTCCCCCCTCTGGTGGCCAGTAGGGAACTGTGCCATCTTATTTATAATCCTGCAGTTTTGAATGAATCTCCCAGAAGGCTCTTCACGGAGGATTAAAAACTAATAACTATTTCTACAGGGCAACTGGGTGCTTTACCAAGGAAAGTACATGGGGCCTAGAGTCCCTCTGGAGAAAATTTAAATGGTGGGTAGCTAGGGCACTGCTTTGCAGTGTGTCCAACCATCCAGTGAAAATAGTTTTAAGGAGGAGATGGTAGAGGCAAAAAGAGCAATGGAGATGGAAAAAGAATGATGGAAGAGGTGAGGGTAATGAGCAGAGCGATAACGAGGAATGAGTATGGGTGTGGGGATCAATCAAGCCTGGTTTGCACAATGTCTTCTACCCCACAAAAGACAAAGGACTTGCACAATGCAGGCACACACAGCACCCTGCAGGCATGTGTCCTCCTTGCTTTTCCATGGGCCTGGCAAAAGTAGAATCCCGTGGAAATAAAAGAAAGCAACTTGAATTTATAATAATGATAATTTATTATTTATACCCCGCCTATTTCCCCAGCCACTCTGGGCGGCTCCCAACCGAATATTAAAAACATGATACAATTTGTGTGATTTTTACAAGGGATTCCCCCAAACGCGTCCATGGGTGCGTACTGTCATTTTGTTGGCACCCCATGTAAAAATCACGCAAGATCCACAAGATCCATGACTTGGATCAACATCTGTGTGTCATGACAGCACTGGGAGTGGCAAGGGAAGAAGAGAAACTGAGGTGTACAGCTTTGGCACACTCTCAACATTCCACAGGTCTACAAGGGTTGGGAGCTCTTGCAATAATCATTTGCAGAAAGCATGGAAAACATTGCGCGTTATCTCCTTTGCTCCACCTAATCTCTTTCTCTCATCCTCTACCATGGCTGAGAAAGATTCCAACAAAATGAAACAGAAGTTCTCAACTGTGCCCGAGCAAACTTTCTTAGTCAAGGAAGAGAACAACAATTAACATACTTTAAGTTGCCTTCAGTAGTAAAATTCTGCCCAAATTCACATTTACAGAGATGTGTATAAATTTGATGTAAATAAATGGATAGATAATTGATCTGACATTCAGAAAGAGAAGACAACAGAAATCTGCAAGATTCTACGGCATGCCTTAACACCCCTGAATGGAAAATGCTTATTAAAAATAGGGTATGGATCCTATCAGCCCCCAAGAATATCTGTCAGTACTACAAAAGGATGAGCACAAAATAAACACTGGCTCTATGCTGGAGACAGATACACACTAGGCACGTGTAGCAGTGACTGCTTTAAACTTTAAACTCTGGCCCTCCAGATATTGTTGGACTCCCAACTCCCACTAAGCCCCACCAGAAGGTCCAAAGTGTCGGGGAAGATGGGTGGTGGACTCCAGAAACTTCTGGAGGGCCACAAATTGCCCATCCTGGTCTTGATGATATGGCTGCAATAATTTATCACAGAATGCAACTGTCTTACCTTTCGTAGCTGGCTTTTGTATTCCTCATGCAGCTCTCCAGGCTTGCTTAACGTGATGGGTGCTCTGAATATAAAATCTGCAGGCAGAAAGAGGGGTGGAGGAGTTGTTTAGCATTTTGAGAATTCACAGAAATGCTACAGAAATGCAGCTAAGCATGGTTATTCTTACTACTATATCAGAAATGTGGTTTTTTCCTCATACTGGGGCTCACCACAAGGAGATGAATCCACTTGGCAACTGCATGCTAAAATAACGATCCAAAAAGCAGCCCTTAGCCTCTCAAAACTTTTTTTAAAAAATCAAGTGAAACAATGGTAGCCTACCTATGCAACTTGAGTGAAACTAAGCAGGGTTCAAAATGTCGCACTACCTCCTGTGCCATCTCTAGTAAAAAGCTCAACAGCAACTTTAAAAACCACACCCACTTTGGCAAAACACATGCCCAGGCAAGTCACTCTCTGGAACCAGAGATTCTCTACAAAGGAATTCAAGACCAAGTCATCCATAAAGCCATCCAATTTTATCTCATCATGTTTGCAAAGAAGAGACTATCGCAAAACAAATATAACTCACTGATAAGAAGCTGAAAAGGGACAGGTTAGCCAATCCACAATTTGTGCCCACACAGTACCACCAGCTAGCTTTAAGAAAACTTTCCACATTTAAGTTGCAAAACACAGGACCCATTTCAGTATCACGTGGGCACGTTTATTCTCAAACGTTAAGTGTGTGGACATAAGTGCAAGAAGCAAAAATCAAAAATGTACTGTGTGCCTCTGTCACTGTCCCATCTTCTAGGCATCAGCTTGGACTACAAACACCCATTTGTGATATACTGCCAGGTCAAAAATTATGAAGCCATTATCACAATATGAACTTCAAACTGGTTTTGGACGATTTATCGACATATTGCCCAGCCCTAGATAACATGGGGGTGACATGTGTAAGGTAAAGGTAAAGGGACCCCGGACCATTAGGTCCAGTCGTGACCGACTCTGGGGTTGCGGCGCTCATCTCGCTTTATTGGCCAAGGGTACTGGCGTACAGCTTCCGAGTCATGTGGCCAGCACGACTAAGCCGCTTCTGGCGAACCAGAGCACTGCACGGAAATGCCGTTTACCTTCCCGCCGGAGCGGTACCTATTTATCTACCTGCACTTTGACGTGCTTTCGAACTGCTAGGTTGGCAGGAGCTGGGACCGAGCAACGGGAGCTCACCCCGTCACGGGGATTCGAACCGCCAACCTTCTGATCTGCAAGTCCTAGGCTCTGTGGTTTAACCCACAGCGCCACCCATGTACAGCACCCCAAAAAGGTGCCTGCATCCAGCATTGAATGTACATTATCACAGACTGCATACATGTGTTAAGGGACTTATGTCAATTCTTTCCCTAACAAACATTTGAAAAGTCAGGGTTTGCCAGAAAGTCAAAGAGTCTCTAAATGTGCTCTCCTTTATACAAAGGAAGCCTGTCCTGAATTTCCCTATCACTTGAAAGGGAGCATGATTGTATAACAGAGTGGAAATGCTTAAAGGGAACCACGTCTTCCTCTCAGTAGTCCTTTCTAGTGGCAAAATGTATCTTTTACTTTCCAGACAGGTTAGTTTGCCTTTCTTGGCACAAGGTCACAATAAATCTACAGGGGGAGGAGCACGCGTGTGCACACACACCAAGATTCCCACACCAGCAGCACCCATAACACAGGCATGCACAAAGCTACACAGCCAGTCAGCTGCAGTGAGCAAAATTTATCTGCCGGGGACCAGGGCAGCCTCACAACAAGTTGATTTTTTATTTATTTTAAAAAAAAATCATTTAATAGTTTAGCACCAGTGTTGAAGCAATGATTCTTCAACATCAACTTCGTTGGACTGGTCATGTTGTGTGGATGCCTGATCGTCTTCCAAAGCAACTGCAGTGGTACCTCTAGATACGAACGGGATCCGTTCCGGAGCCCCGTTCGCATCTAGAAGCAAACGTAACTAGCGACAACACATCTTTTCGCCGCTTCTGCGCATGCGTGTGACGTCATTTTGAGCGTCTGCGCATGCACAAGCGGCGAAACCTGGAAGTAAAATGCTCTGTTACTTCTGGGTTGCCGCGGAGCGCAACTTGAATGCGCTCAACCCGAAGCGCATTCAACCTGAGGTATGACTGTACTCTATTCCGAACTTAAAAATGGAAAGCGTAATGCTGGTGGTCAACAAAAGAGGTTTAAAGACGGTCTCAAGGCAAATCTAAAAAATGTAGTATAAACACTGACAACTGGGAAACACTGGCCTGCAAGTGCTCCAGTTGGAGAACAGCCTTTACCAAAGATGTCATGAACTTTGAAGACACTCGAACTCAGGATGCAAGGGAGAAACGTGCTAAGAGGAAGGCACGCTTGGCAAATCCACACCGTGATCAACTCCCGCCTGGAAACCAATGTCCCCACTGTGGAAGGACGTGTGGATCCAGAACTGGCCTCCACAGTCACTTACGGACTCATTGTTAAAACCGTGTTTATGGAAGACAATCTCACTCAGCTATGAGTGATCGCTGAAGAAGAAGTGTGCATATGGAGAGACAGATCTAGCAACGTTGTGTACTCGTGCAAGGTTCCCCTAAGACAAAACAGCATGTCCCCATGGCAGACGTTGCTCTGAAGTGACCCAACATTGGCTTGCATGAAATCTGACAGAACTGTTGCTCAAGACTAGACAGAATTTCCTAGATTAACAAAACAAAATCCAGTTTCCTATTTGAGGAAGTTTAATGACCAGGGCAGGGCCGGGCCTAAAAGCAGAAGACCCTCTCTGAAGTTTAACAGGTCAGAGTTTGGTCAGTGCCTAGATGCTTAAAGCTAGGGAAGAAAAATTGACTTTGAATAAACTATTTCTTAACATGTTTGTGACAGTTTACTGCGTTTAGTTAACCTGAAACCATGCCATACACAATCTTGACAGAACACTTTTGTCCATTCTGATAATCCAATTTAGATAGAAGAGCTGGATATTGCAAACAAATGTAACCTAGTACATATGATAACAGAAAATAAATGAATTCAAGTTTCATTTGTAATTTCCCCCAAATCAAACCAACAGTGGAATGTTGCTGTGCACTCCCCCCACTGCAATTACAACCCCTATTTTGTGTGCTTAAGAATCAACCAGTGACTTCTGTTCAAAGAAAGAAAGCCAACGGTTGAGATCTGAAGATTCACAAGACTCCACCTTAACTCTTTGTGTCCCCCTCAGGTGACATCAAGGAGTGGCAAAAGCGCAACTTGCAGGCCAAAGCTCAACACAGCATTATCTGAGGAATTCTCCTGAACTGAACAGTCAATTTCAAAAAGCAGTTTTCAGAAAACCTGTCAAACTACACCTAACCCAGACTTTCCGTCCAACACTAAGCTATTCATTCTTTTCTGTAGTTGTACAGCAGACCAGAACAACCAGAAACTGTCAATTTATGGGGGGAGCCGATAAAATTAGTGGCACTGAAGTTCTTTTAGAGATGAAAAGGTTTTCAGCATAGAGAACACAAAGTTTTATGGCACACTGGAATCTAGGGACCTGTTGCACAAGGAACGCTCTCTCAATAACAAGAAAAAAGAAGGGTTAAGCCCTGGACATACACATGGCAGGCATAGTCAAAACAAAAAAAATTCCTTCCAGTAGCACCTTAAAGACCAACTAAGTTAGTTCTTGGTATGAGCTTTCGTGTGCATGCACACTTCTTCAGATACACGAAAGCTCATACCAAGAACTAACTTAGTTGGTCTTTAAGGTGCTACTGGAAGGAATTTTTTTTGTTTTGACTGTTGTTGTTGCTTGGTCGTTTAGTCGTGTCCGACTCTTCGTGACCTCATGGACCAGAGCACGCCAGGCACCTCTGTCCTCCACTACCTCCCGCAGTTTGGTCAAATTGTTGTTTTGACTATGGCAGACCAACACGGCTACCTATCTGTAAATGGCAGGCATAGTGAAGGTAATCTGGTTAGTGGAGATCCAGCCCAGACAAGTAAAGGAAAATGGCACAAAACTGAATTTACTCATGACATCTGATTCAGCGCCCAAGGTAGTGGTGGTTGTTAAAACCCATCAAATCCCTTGCTGTAGGACAGAATAACAAGCTTGCCGAAGGCGGTAGGAATTGGAGAATAACAGTAAATCCAGGTGACCCTTGCACCTTTGACCAGAGAAGGGACAGGGCCAATCCCTGTATACACACCTTAGGAAAATCTTTCCCCATACTATCACCGTCTCAATTCACCAATCATCTTCTTTTTGGCAGCATTATGTGTCCAGCATACATTATGTAGCTCAGTAGGTAGAGCACGAGACTCTTAATCCCAGGATTGTGGGTTCAAAGCCCATGTTGGGCAAAAGATTCCAACATTGCAGGGGGTTGAACTAGATGACCCTTGTGGTCCCTTCCAACTCTACAATTCTATGATTTAATTCTATGTCCAGAACATTCAATACATCTACCCACAAAGTCAAGAAATAGATGACCAACACAAGAAGCAAAACTAAACTCACACTTGCTCATCTCCAGAGCAGGTTTAAAAGGTGCAAATTCACACTCCATGATAAAACTCTCAAACACACATACACAAAGCCCTGCTTTAAACCATGTGAAATATATTTTGGACTAATTCAGCACCATGAGTGTTAGTTGTTTTCAAATACACAGGCAGAGTGACTAAAAAAAGAATCATCTTATGTTTGTGTACAATTGCAATCCATGTAAGTGATTCAAGGAGTGGCCATCGTTCCATCAGTAACCAAGAACAGGAAATTAGCAGACTAAAAAAAATATTTTGTATATGCATCATTACACAGCCAACCTCTTGTTCTTAGGAACATCACCTCACTTACTAAGTGTCATATTGTTCTAATAACACTGCGCTCCACAAACAATTAGTGATGTATACGCCTTTTCCCAATGTGCATGACTATCACACCCAAGCACTCATTAACTCACACACCAAACGCATCCCATTTCTCTTTACAGTGGTACCTCTGGATGTGAACAGGAACCGTTCTGGAGCCCTGTTCGCATCCTGAAGCGAACACAACCCGCGTCTGCGCATCACGATTCGCTGCTTCTGCGCATGTCATCTTGACAGTCGGCGCATGCGTGAGCGGCGAAACACGGAGGTAACGGAACATGTTACTTCCGGGTCGCCACAGAGCACAATCTGAAAAAGCTCAACCCAAAGCTACTTCAATCCAAGGTATGACTGTACACTGATGAAGTGGTCTGTGGCCCAAATGTACAACACAATACAGTGGTGCCTCGCAAGACGAAATTAATTCGTTCCGCGATTTTTTTCGTCTTGCGATTTTTTTCGTCTTGCGAAGCACGGTGTCGGGAAAGTTTTGGAAAAGCTTCAAAAATCACCAAAGTCTTTAAAAACCTCAAAAAAGGCTACCACACCTCGTTCTATGAGTTGCTCCTCAAGTCAAGTCGCAACTGTATTAACGGTGTTAAGAAAAAAGAAACAAACTTGCAAGACATTTCCGTCTTGCGAAGCAAGCCCATAGGGAAAATCGTCTTGCGAAGCAGCTCAAAAAACAAAAAACCCTTTCGTCTAGCGAGTTTTTTGTCTTGCGAGGCATTCGTCTTGCGAGGTACCACTGTACATTTCTTGGGCTTTCAATGCTACATTCTCCTCTGTCCACCCCTCCTCTCAACAGCTGACTGAAAGCTTGTTTCCTGCTTGGCAGGGGGTTGGACTCGATGGCCCTTGTGGTCTATTCCAACTCTATGATTCTATTCTATGAAAGCAAGCCTCACACACCCAGTCAATCAGGCACTAAATTTATCACAACACTTGAGACCCACAAAGGCTGTACTGTTTGGTACCTCTGGTTAACACGCACTTGAAAAGCCTCACAATAACATGCCCGGAATTCCTGTGCGCTGGATGTCGATGCACACACACTGCCCATGCTCCATAGCCAACGGATGATCAACCCATGTGGTGTAGTGGTTAGAGACTAGGAGCTGGGAGGCCAGGGCTAAAACCCCAGCTCAGCCATGAAACTTCTAGGGCAGCCTTTCTCCACCTGTGGGTCCCCAGATGTTGTTGGACTACAACTCCCATCACCCTGAGCTAACAAGGCCAGAGCTCAGGGATGATGGGAGTTGTAGTCCAACAACATCTGGGGACCCACAGGTTGAGAACCGCTGTCCTAGGGTGACCTTGGGCTAGTTCTAAGCCTAACCTACCTCATAGGGTTGTTGTGGGGGGGAAATGGAGAGGAAGAATACACCTTGAGCAACTTGGGAGAGAAAGTGGGATATAAAGGCAATAAAGAAAGAAAATTGGACGGGGCATGTCTAGAGACTGCTCCCCTGAATGACCTGCCCCTGCGAGAAGAAATACACACACAGGACTCCTTCACTTCACAAGATACACTTCAGACAGATGCCAACTGTGCCAAGGGGTGAGGACAATGCACAAGAATGCAAACACAAAAGAGCACAGCCAATTGCAACTGACTGCACAATACATGTGCTTGTTACACTCCTCCTTCAAGTGCACCAAAGATGTATAAAACATGGACCTCCAGCACACGGCTGATGTTTTCAAACAAACAAACACACACACACACACACACCAATGTTGTGGTTAGCAAATTCCTTAAAACCATTCTTTTTTGGGAGCCAACTTGCATTTTGTAACTCTGGGTATTAAGGTTTAAGAAAGCGATCAATTATTTCTGGGTATTTAACCAATTCTTCCTGGAAATAAAGCTTGAAGGAATCGATTTCAGCAAGACTCGCAGAGAGTGGTTAAAAGCAGGTGGAAAACACGGGTCTTTGGGGTCACCTGAAAGGTGGGCCAACACGCATCATCCGGCTCTCTCATTTGCTCTGAAGGCATTGCAAAACAACCACCGCAGCCACCACACGCATCTCAAGCCTGTGTCCATTTAGCTAGAAATAAACTGCGTTCTCGGGAAGCCCCACGCAGAGTTGCTCTCCCCGCGTGATACAGCCCCACAGGCCCACGGAATTTCGTGTTTGCATCTTGTGTTTTTCATGTTGCGAACTGCCCCGAGATCGACGAATGCAAATTTAATTAACAAACAACAGCAGCCACCTGCCCGCAGACCCAGGCGCCTACGCCCGCCCCCGTGAAATTTACCCATTCACACACGCGCGCCGCGCCTGGGCGCATCCCGACGTGCTTCGCTGGCAACTGAGGCGCCCGTCCAAAAACCACACACACACCCCGAGGCTCCGCTGCCCACGTAGGCAGAAACGCGAGCAGGCACGCGCGCGCGCCCAGACCACGTCAACGAGTCGCGTGCATTTCCTACTCTCACACACGCACACGTAACCCATTCACACGATACGTGTCGCGCACGGGCGGGCGCCGCACCTCGCTCTGCCTGGGCGGGCGGTGGCGGAGGAGGAGGAGGAGGCGGCGGCGTCTCGCCTTCCGAGGGGGCCCGAACCGGCTGCGAGAAGCTGCCGAGGCGGCTGCGGCAAAACGGGCGGCCGGGGCCCTGAGGCGGGCAGCGCCGGGGCCCGCCGCCCTCCGCCGCCGCCTCTTTCTCCTCAGGCCCGCCCTGGCGCCGCCTCCTCCGGCCCCGGCCCCGTCGCAGGAGCGGAGGCGGCGGCGGAGACCCCGCGGCCCGGACGCCGAGCGCCGCCGCCGATGCTGCTGCCGCCGCCGCCGCCGCCATTTTCTCACGGCGTGAGGGGAGGGAAAGGAGCCCCCGCGTCGGCCACGCCCACCTCCTCCATATTCATGAGCCCTTCCACCGCCAGCCTCCTCCTCCTCCTCCGCGGCTTGTTTGTGATGGTGGCGGCGGGGGAGGGTAGTCCGTTACTGCGCGCGCCGCGGACGACGGTTAGGAAAAGGCCCGCGCCTGCCTCGGCCGCCGCCGGAGCCCCGCCCACTTCTCCCCCCACACCCAATAGCCGGGCGAGGGTGGGTCGGCTGCGCCCAGTCAGAGGAGCGGGCCGGGAAGGAGGCTCCTCCTCCTGCTGTATAAAGTGACACCGCGGCCCCCTCCCCCCACCGCCTCAGCCCTCACAGGCGGCGTTCGCTTTTCGCTCCTGTTTTCCCCTCACGGCTGCACGTTGTCAATGAATGCAAATAAAGTGACTGGAAACACGCGTGTCTCTGTGTCTAGACATACGCATCTTTACACGAAAAGGGTGTATATAACGTGTGTCTCGCATATCACTGAGGGAGAGAATACAGAGACGGATCTCTGTGTGTGTTGTGTAACGGGGTATGCAGATAAAACACTCAGATATTTACAAAAAAACCCACGTTTTTATATAGCACGTGTGTGTGTGTGTGTGATATAAAGTCTCAAACTCAGACCCATCTCAGACCTTCCAAAGCTCTCTTTTGGCCAGGTTTACAGAAGCTGTCCTGGTTTCTGATTTTATATATATACAGGGTGAGTCTTTTAAAAGAGTATCCACGGCCACGGGGCCTCTTTTAAAGTACTCACCCTGTATATAAAACATTGTTTCTCAGGTCAGCTCCCTATTTGGTTCACTTTTCCTGTTTGCAATGCATAGTCTGTCACACACCAACTATAAATATCAGTTATATATATATATGAAGCTTTTTACATGTGAAAGTCAAAAAGCGAGGAAGCATCCAGAAGCCACAAAGAGATGGATCTTGTCCTTTGAGCTCCTAGGAAATTTAATTCAGAACCAGAGATTGTCTTTTAAAGTCCAACTGGAGTGGACTGTTGATCTGAATTGGACGGATGCTTCAGATACTTTCAATTGTGGCTACTATTCTATATATATATATATAGAATTAAATATCCCTGAATTAAATTTCCCGCTTCATCAAGACTTATTTATGCCCACAAGCCTATGCAACAGTGGCTTGAACCATTTTCCCCCAGTACCCAGCCATTTTGCAGATTTTTCTGCACTGCTTTGAATGTTTTTTTATACTGCTGTACACACATTCTGGATGTTTTGCGATTGAGCGATACATAAATAAAAATACCGATTTATTTTATTTTCTAACGGTAGGCAGAGAGCTAGCTGGGCAGTCCCACAGTTTGGTGCCACAACTGAAAAGGCCCTGGATTTTATTTATTTGTTTGTTTAAAAGAATTTGTGTAATGCTTGATTTAAAAAAACAAAAGAAAACAAAAACCCCAAGCCTCATTCAGCCTAAGGCCTCAGGAAAACACAGCAGAGGGGAGTTGGTACACGGGAAGAGGTGTTCCTTCACATAGTTATAAATAAATTCATGAATGTCAGAATCTACCGTATTTTTCGCTCCATAAGATGCACCTGACCATAAGATGCACCAAGTTTTTAGAGGAGGAAAACCAGAAAAAAAATATTCTGAACGAAACAGTGGATGTATGATTTTTGTGGTTCATGCTGTGGCCACAGGCATGTGATCTGATGGTGAATTTGGGGTGACCCAATGCAAAAATCCTGAGGATCCATGTGAATCCGTGCTTTGTAACCATGTTTTTGCGCCATTCTGGCCCCACGCAACAGTGTATGCATGATTTTTTTGGTGCAGGCTGTAGCCATGGACATGCTATGTGATCTGATGGTGAATTTAGGGTGACCCAATGCAAAAATCCTGAGGATCCATGGACTTTTACCTCCCCCCTCCCAGGCAGCCTCCTTTATCACTAGCTTCCCTTATCTCCCTCCCGATCCCACCGATCAGCTGCTTCCTTTCAACACCCCCTTCCCTCTTGTTTGCCTTAGTGTCTTTTCCTTAGCTGGAGCAGTTTTTTGCTCCTCCTTTTCTTCTAGTTTCTCTCCTTATTGCTTTAGTCTTCCTGTTTCCCCCCTTTGCAAGTTTGCTGTCTTTACCTCCCCCCTCCCAGGCAGCCTCCTTTATCGCTAGCCTCCCTTATCTCGCTTCCGATTGTTTGCGATCAGTGGCTTCCTTTCAACACCCCCTTCCCTCTTTCAAAAAAAAAGAGCAAAAAAAGAGAGAGCATGATCTGTGTTATGTACTGAAGTTCTCACCCTGGGCCAGCAGGGGGATACTGTAGATAGTTTTCACTCAGGTCCACATATGCAAATAAGGGATTGAAAGTGACGTTCAGTGATTGGATAGTTACAGAAAGTTGTTACAGTTGCTTTGTAGTGGAGCTCTATATAACCAGGCTGGCTGAACCCTTCAGTTCAGTTCTGTTCTGACGTGTGAATAAACAAGAGCTGTTTGAAGAATCGCTGTGATATGTTCACCCACAACTTAACTTAATCTGCTTTTCGCCCCTGGGCAATTCGACTCCAGGGACAATGCATTCTCTCCATAAGAAGCACAGACATTTCCCCTTACTTTTTAGGAAGAAAAAAGTGTGTCTTATAGAGCAAAAAATACGGTAGCTAATATTTGGAATAGTAAGGGGAAATGCAAGCTACAGAACTTTGCCAGCTTATTCAAACCAGTCTGGTCAAGCTGGCTGAATGCAAGCCAAGATGAAACAATGGCCAGGCATCTACGTATTTAAGAAGGTTCTCATGTCTGTGCAAAACAGGGGTTTGCCGAGGTGTGTGAGGTGACAGGGGAAAGGGTTGTTTTACTGGAGGCTTGATTTTTTGGAGAAAGATGCTGGGGAAAAGAAGGAGAACGAAGGCCAAAAACCATCTCAGTGCTAGCTGGAGGAGGCTGCACTAAGAGACCGGGAGCCGCGACTGACGGCTGCTTTGGAGCCAAGCTTGCTGAAGCTATGAAAGGGGCAACGAGAGATACTCTTGGGATATAATGTTCTGCACCCCTCCACGGCAGACTTCCCGGTGTCATTCGGAATAAATAACAAGATGAAAAGATCTTTTTTAATAATTCCAGTAATTTAGCTTTCCCCTTCATGGATCACTGCCTTGCCGTGGCGAAGGGGCTTGAAGAACTCAGAGAAGCTATGAACTACGCCGAGCAGGGCACACAAGATGAACAGGTCATAGTGGAGAGTTTTGACCAAACGTGATCCACCTGGAGCAGGAACCGGCAAGCCACTCCAGTATCCTTGCCAAGAAAACTCCATGGACAAAGACAACAGGCATATAAAAGTTATGACGCTGGAAGATGAGCCCCTCAGGTCGGAAGGCGTCCAACATGCTACTGGGGAAGAGCGGAGGGCAAGTACAAGTAGATCCAGAGTTGATGATGAGACATCACCTTGCCAACAAAGGTCCGTATAGTTAAAGCCATGGTTTTCCCAGTAGTGATGTATGGAAGTGAGAGCTGGACCATAAAGAAGGCTGATCGCCGAAGAATTGATGCTTTTGAATTATGGTGCTGGAGAAGACTCCCATGGACTGCAAGAAGATCAAACGCATCCATTCTTAAGGAAATCAGCCCTGAGTGCTCACTGGAAGGACAGATTGTGAAGCTGAGGCTCCAGTACTTTGGCCACCTCATGAGAAGAGAAGACTCCCTGGAGAAGACCCTGATGCTGGGAAAGATGGAGGGCACAAGGAGAAGGGGGCGACAGAGGACGAGATGGTTGGATAGTGTTTTCGAGGTTACCAGCATGAGTTTGACCAAACTGCAGGAGGCAGTGGAAGACAGAAGTGCCTGGCGTGCTCTGGTCCATGGGGTCACGAAGAGTCGGACACGACTAAACGACTAAACAACAACAACAACAACACAATTTAGCTTTAGTATGTATAATGGGACATGAATCCAATATCTCCATTCAGATCAGGTCTCTCCATAGTTTTTAGTTTGGTAATGAGTTGTAATTCAGCAACCTCTCATTCAAGTGCATTTCTAAAATTATTCAGCAATAAGACAGCTACTTTAAGATCTTGTACAGAATGCAGTTAGAAGCTAATTTTGGTCATCTATCCCTTTAAGAATCCCTTGCCCTTCCCTGTGGAACCAACTGCCATAACAGTCCTCAACAGTTATAAGGCTGAAGTATCTGATGAAGTGTGTATTACACACAAAAGCTCATACCTTGAAAACTTATATTGAGTTGATCTTTAAGGTGCAACTGGAATTATTAAAAAATATTTTTTCATCCTGTTATTTATTATGACTATGACAGATCAACATGGCCTTCCACCTGAATCTGGTGTCATTCGTAGTTGACCTCTCCCACGCACACTGTCTTAGGCGACTTATTCCGGTTTTCAACTTCGGCTTTTGATCTCAAAACGTTCTGTTTATCACAGCTGATTCCTCTGTTCGTCTTGATTGGAATCGGAGGGACCGGCCTGTGCACCATGCGCCTTGCTCTTCGCAATCCTGGTGTCAGGTAAGTGCCACCCCTCAGGGCAGGATCAGCCCTTGGCATGGTGCTGACAACTGCCATCCCTGCAAAACCACGTCACGTGCTCCCCGCCTCCCAGTGGCCCCTGGGTGCCCTTCACTGATGGATGCCAGGCAGCGCTTTTGAATGGGGCCTAAGCTGGACTCCCATCTGTGACAGCTGCCCACCACTTTACGCAACTCAGAATTAGCCACAGGGATCCGTGGCCTGAGTGGATGGGAGTGAGCTTGGCTTCTTTTCAGAGGCGACACTGCCACTGAAGAGCGTCTGGGGACCCAGTGGCAGGGACTGGCGGCCTGGCTGGGCAGCCTGATAAGCACCCTTCCAAGCTCCTTGGGGGCAGACCTTTTGCCACTTCTTTAAGTGTTGCATCTTAAAGCACCACCTGAATAAAATATGGCCTGGTGTGCTCCAGAGGTAGAATAATAATAATAATAATAATAGTTATAAAACAAATTATAAAACCACAGTAAAACATTAGCGTCAGCTTCTTAGCTTTAGAGTAAGAAAACCAACCATATAAGCATTGCCATTCCTCAGCCAAGTTGTATCCAAGGCATTGCAATGAGCGGTACAGCATAGCTAAAAGGGTATTTGGGAAGAGAGTAAAGCCAATGAACTGTGTGTGCAGAAAGCACAAAGTCTAGCAGGGGCCCGTCATGGAGAACGTGTAGGATTGGGTCGCCAGCATCGAGTTCTGTCCAGCACTGCCTCACAAACTTGCCGCTGTCTCTGGTGCAAGGCAGTGAGAAGCTGCCCTTGCATTTAGGTAACTATGCATTAACTGGCTTTAAAGGGCTTTTACAAATGCTTGTGGTACGATGGACCTTTTTTACATCCCACATTATAAAAGAAGTGTGCTCTTCTGGTGGCACTGAGGAGGCCATGATTGTTAAATTTGGTGAGAACCACGTGCCAACAGTTGGACAGAGCGTTACGCTTTATGCTGCATGTTTTTCTTCTTCTTACAAAGATGTACTCCGTGCTGTCTGCCTCTGGTCACGTTTCTCTGCCTGGCTGGGACAAAAAGAGCAACCCAGCCTTGGAACAAGCTGTGACCCAACGACCAGTACAAGGTATGGTACAAAATACTTAACTAGGGTTATGATGCTGGTTATCCTATAGGCCAGGGATGGGGAGCCTGGTGTCCAGCAGAGATTGTTGGGACTCCAACTCCCATCAGCCCCATCCCTGAAATCTATGGAAGATGGGCTAATAATAATAATAATAATAATAATGGCCATTTGGTGGGAGGAATAATAAGCTTCAGCTTTGAAAGGCCTGGTGTGTGTGATCACAGCATTTGGGGTTGGACTAGATGACCCTTGGGTTCCTTCTATGATGCTTCATTCTCCTCTCCAGTTCACTCTTCTAAACTCTGACTGAATAAGCAGGATAGATCCCTGAGTTTCTGCCATTGACTTGTGGTTCTTTCTGCAAAATTGCTTTTAAGCCCATTAAAGTTGAATGATTAGAGATCCTTTCCCCCACTGAGGCAAAAGTTGTAGCATCCAAGTCACCTTCAATGGTAGCCCCACGTAGAGCGCATGGTAGTAGTCCAAGCTGGAGATAACGCTTAACCGTGCTGCCCTCTTTCCGTTCTATGCGGTGAATGCAGACTATGACAAGCTGAAAAAGGAGTGTCAAGATATCGGAAGAGCAAATGAATCTGGGAGCTATAGTTTGGGTTATAGGGTTTGATGCTTTTGTAACTGGATCTATAATGGCTTTTAGTCAAATACAATAAATGATTGATTGATTGATTGATTGATTGATTGACTGATTGGTGAAAAAGTGCTTTTTTACTGAGATGCTAACTTTCTCTCTGCATGTCATTCCTTGCACAGCTTCCTGTGCAAAGATAAGGCTTGTGCATTTGACTAGTGTTGCGTGGAGGGAAATGCAGCCCCTGGGCTGAAAAATGTCCCCTCCTGCCCCCTTGGGTTTCCAGTGTGGCCTTCACAGATATTGGCACAACGTGGGGGGGGTGTGTGTGTGGCTGCTGAGCTGCACCCCGCATTGTGAGGGCTGAGGGGGTGATGGTGATGCCTCCCATTGTCTGTGGGTTGACTGTGATGCCACAAAAGCATTTGGCAGCTGAGCGGGTATAAATGTGGGCCAAGGCGCAAGCCTCGGCAGTTGCCCTCCCCAGAGAGAAATGGGCAGCTCGGTGGCACTCAGCCCTGGTGGTCTCCTGCCCCGTGGCAGCAAGGTGGCAAGTGGAAGGAGGCAATCGCCTGGTGCTGGGATGCTGTGGAGCAAGGAGAAGGCAAGTACAAAGTTTACTTGCTGGTGGGATCGCTACTTGAAGGCGACTGATATTCAGCTCTGAAGCTGGTTGATGTCTGGCGATGGACCTGGTGAGGCTGCAGCTGGTGGGTGGTTGTTGGAAGAGTTTGTGTTCAGGCTAGTCGAGGCTACGCTGGCTGAGATGGATGCAAAGTGGTTTGGAAGCCTTGTTTGTTAACAGGCAGCCAAACAGAGGAGGAGTCTGGAGAGACGCAGTTGGATGGGGGCCATCCCACTCACCTCTTTGCCTTTGCCTTACAGGGATGTCCGGAGCCGGTGAGGTTTTCCCTAAGTCCAAAATCATGAAGAGAACCACAGGACATCCCTATTTACATCGGAGAAATGAATGCGAAATACTGGCAGTGAGCAATGGACAAGGCCGTGGCCATACCTGAGAGAAGGAGCTTTGAAGGGAGACTGCAGGCGGACATCTGCTGCATTGCAAGTGATGGGGCAGTGGGGGGAGAGAAGAAAAAGAGGGAGGAAACATTAGGCCACATTAGGCGCACCGTCCGTCCATTGGAAGTGCTATGAAGACGCTTTGAACAGGAATGGCTTCCCCTCAGGGATTCTGGGAACTGTAGGTGGTTAAGGGGACAGAGAGTTGTTAGGCGGGTTGGGCTTAGGCTTAGGAGTAGGAGTAGGAGTAGGGTAGGGGTAGGGTTGAGTTGGGGTAGGGTTAGGGTTAGGGTTAGGGTTCCCTTCTTGTCAGGGAACTTTGGGAAATGTAGCTCTAGTTAACGGTTAATGGTTAGCATTAGTGTTAGAGTTAGAGTTAGCGTCAGGGGTAGGGGTAGGGTTCCCTTCTTTTCAGGGAACTCTGGGAATTGTAGCTCTGGTTTGGGGGTAGGGGTAGGGTTCCCTTCTTGCCAGGGAACTCTGGGAACTGTAGCTCTAGGTAAAGGTTAAGGGCTAGCGTTAGGGTTAGAGTTAGGGTTAGCATCAGGGGTAGGGGTAGGGGTAGGGGTAGGGTAGGGGTAGGGGTAGAGTTCCCTTCTTGTCAGGGAACTCTGGGAATTGTAGCTCTAGTTAAGGGTTAAGGGTTAGCGTTAGAGTTAGCGTCAGGGGTAGGGGTAGGGTTCTCTTCTTTTCAGGGAACTCTGGAAATAGTAGCTCTGGTTAGGGGGTAGGAGTAGGGTTCCCTTCTTGTCAGGGAATTCTGGGAATTTTAGCTCTGGTTAGGGAGTAGGGTTGGGGTGCCCTTCTTGCCAGGGAACTCTTAGGAATTGTAGCTCTAGTTAAAGGTTAAGGGTTAGCGTTAGGGTTAGAGTTAGGGTTAGCGTCAGAGGTAGGGGTAGAGTTCCCTTTTTGCCAGGGAACCCTGGGAATTGTAGCTCTTGGAGGGGAACAGGGGGTCTCCTAACAACTCTCTGCACCCTTTTCAAACTATAGCTCCCAGATTCTTTGGGGGAAGAAGCCATGAGTGTTTAAAGCGGCTTCACAGCGCATGAAATGGTGTGGATGTGGCCCTGGCCTCCCTCACCCCACTGCCCCTTATTATTGCAGAATCGAAAAGATTTCCCCATGCAAATCTCTCGGAAACAATGTATTTCATCTGGAAAAATATTTAATAAAGATTATTTTTTATTAAAACCTTTGAATGTGTTTGAACTGTGTTTGAGTGCGCAGAGAATGATTTCCCTTGAAAGCAATGCCCTTAGATTACAGAATCATGGAATTGCAAAGTTAGACGGGACCGAATCTTTTGCTCTACATGGGGCTCAAAGGACAGCCCTGAGATTAAGGGTGGCAGTAATCTGAGCATCCTGGACCCTGCCCCATGGTTCTCCTTGCCCTCCACCAAACACCCATCAAGTGTAACAGAAAAGATCTTTACATTTCCCTGTTTCCCAGCCAAGTTAATCACACCCTTTTGTCTTCATCTGGGTTTGTTATTTCTGGAATGGCTACCTGTCTGGCACTCAGGTATCAGGATGCCAGGGATTATCCCCCAGGCAGAGGGGCTGCTGAGTAGCTGAGCTCACATGTCTATAGGAATTTCTGAAGTTTTCCCAGTGAGCCAGTACATAGATACATTGATCAGTGAATTCTTACATTTGGTATATCGTGCAGCAAAGGCCCTTTGAATAGATAGGAAGAAACTGTGATGAAGTGCTTTGTGGGGACAAATCACAAAAGTCACAAAAGTGATTGTGCTGGTTTTGGTAGTGGGCTGCATGTGCATGATATCTGCTGGAGGGGCAATCTCCCCCCCAACCTATTCATAAATTCCTGCAACAGTACTGAGGTAAAATCAGTCACTGAATGGTTTGTGCACCCAAAAACAGAACACTCAATGGTCTACTCCTGAGTAATCTATTTAATCTCCCTTTCACTTTTCTCGTTTGCTTCTGTTGTATCTAGAAATTAGATCTCAAGTAAAAGGTCCAGTTTAAAGTTTACAGCTGTGTCTGTTTTCCACGTGGTGAGACAAAGTCAGTAGAGTTAAATTTATCTGGTGAAAATAATTTCCCTTTTCATCTTTTTTTTTATAATAATAATAAACTGGTGAAACCAGTTCCTGGTTCCTGCATGCTAGTTTTCTACAGGTTGGCTAGATGGGCCATTGGCCTTGTCCAGCCGGCTTTAGATCCATTTCAGTCTGGTTTCCGTCCTGGTTTTGGGACCGAGACGGCTCTGGTTGCCCTAACAGACGATCTCTGTAGACAACTGGATCGAGGCGGGTCAGGACTGCTGATCCTTTTAGATTTGTCAGCAGCCTTTGACATGGTTGATCATGATCTTCTGGACCACCGCCTCGCAGACGTGGGGATACAGGGCATAGCCCGTAACTGGCTGTGCTCTTTTATCTCTGGTCGGGGACAGAGGGTGGCACTAGGGAGGGAAATGTCGTCACGCCACTCCTTGGTGTGTGGAGTGCCGCAGGGCACAATCCTCTCCCCGATGCTTTTTAACATCTTTATGCGCCCCCTTGCCCAGATTATCCGGAGCTTTGGGCTGGGCTGTCACCAATATGCTGATGACACTCAGCTCTATCTGCTGATGGATGGCCACACCGACTCGGCCCCGAACACACTGACCAGATGCTTGGAAGCTGTGGCTGGATGGTTTCGTGGGAGCCGATTGAAACTAAATCCTTCGAAGACAGAGGTCCTATGGCTAGGTCGGGATGGCATGGGGATGAGGGACCAACTCCCTTCTCTTGCGGGGGCCCAATTAGTGCCATTGCCTTCCGTTAAGAGTTTGGGTGTAATCCTTGACGCCTCCCTTTCCATGGAGGCGCAAGTTACAGCAACAGCCAAGGTGACATTTTTCCACCTTCGCCGCATCAAGCAGTTGGTCCCTTCCCTTTCCCGCCCCAACCTGGCCACAGTGATCCATGCGACGGTCATCTCCAGGCTTGACTACTGTAATTCGCTCATCGCAGGGCTGCCCTTGAAGCTGTCCCAGAAACTCCAGCGGGTACAGAATGCTGCAGCGAGACTCCTCACGGGGTCTTTGCCATGGGAGCAGATTCACCCAGTGCTTTTCCAGCTGCACTGGCTCCCGGTGGAGTACAGGGTCAGGTTCAAGGTGCTGCTTTTGACCTTTAAAGCCCTTCATGGCCTAGGACCCTCGTACCTACGGGACCGCCTCTCCCGGTATGCCCCTCGGAGAGCCTCAAGGTCCATAAATAGCAACACCCTAGTGGTCCCGGGCCCTAAGGAAGTTAGATTAGCTTCAACCAGAGCCAGGGCCTTTTCAACGCTGGTGGAACGCTCTGCCTCATGAGACCAGGGCCCTGCAGGATCTGATTTCTTTCTGCAGGGCCTGTAAGACAGAGTTGTTCCGCCTGGCCTTTGGCTTGGAGCCAATTTGATTCCCTCCCTCCCTCTCTTTCTTTTTTCTTTTTCCTTCTCCTCCTGCGATGAGGCTACTTTTTAATATTTTAATGTTTCAATATTTTAATGTTGTATTTTAATTTTGTTTTTAAGTTGTAATCATTCAACTTGTTTTTATTATTGCTTGTAAGCCGCTCTGAGCCTGGCCTTGGCTGGGGAGGGCGGGGTATAAATAAAAATTATTATTATTATTATTATTATTATTATTACTCCTATGTTCTTATATCTGATATTTTAATTTATAGAAATGTACCAAAGGTGTGAATGAAAATCCATGTGTAACCAGCATGCATTCCACCACAGTTCCCAGCAGATGTCTCTGTTGCCCAGAAATAGAATTGTTCCAACTGGAGTGTTAATTGACGTGGAATAATCACATACACATGCAGATCAATGGAGATCAGGATAGCAAGTATTGGTTCCCCTTTAATATTTACATTCTTAGCAACTCTGAATGCTTATAATCATAGGGTGTCTGGGTGTCCTACTTAAGAAAGGACAGTCCTCTGTTTCAAAGAGTCTAATTGTAGGGTAGTCCAGTCCGAGTCTTCATTCTATTAAAATCTTTTGCGTAGTTCCAGATGCCTTCATTGGGTCAATGAATAATAATAATAATAATAATAATAATAATACTTTGTATACCACCCTTCACCTGAACATCACAAGGCAGTTCACAACATGAAACTACAAAATGGGGGAAATACATAATAAAACAAAAACACATTTAAAAGGTGATATAATGTTAATCAGACAAAGGCCTGGTTATACAGAAATATTTCCCCCTGGTCCCTAAAGATATGTAATGAAGGTGTCTTTCTTTCTTTCTTTCTTTCTTTCTTTCTTTCTTTCTTTCTTTCTTTCTTTCTTTCTTAATTTATATTCCACCCTTCACCCAAAGATCACAGGAGAGTTTACAACATAAAAACCACAAAATGCATGACACAATAATAATAGAACGATCCCCGCCACACAGTCACAGTTGTTGTTGTTGTTTATTAAATTTATTATTTCTTAAATTTATACCACCCAATGTTGAACCTTTAAAATATATTTTTTTTGGTGTGTGAGACTGTTCATAACTCATACTGTTAGGAACTTAGGTGAGTCAGTCTGGATGTTGCCCTGAAGAAGTTGCAGAACCGGACGGGCAAGCAAGACAATGGCTTTAGCTGGCCATTTAAGTGTCCTCATCATCATCCCAAAAGAATGAGCTCATTTGCTGAAAAAGGATCTATTTATGTATGCGACAACAGTGGCAAGAATGTTGTATGCCCAGGGATGGAAGGAAGAAAGAACCCCATTGAAAGAAGAATGGATATTGAAACTGATGGACTATCCCGAAATGGCAAAATTGACTGGGAAGATTAGACACCAAGAGGACAATAAATTTAAAAAAGAACAGACTAACTTTATAGAATATATGAAGGAGCACTGCAAATATCTCAAAACGTTAGCAGGATTGGACTAGTACTTGTAAAATAATTTGACAAAGGATATTAAAAAGGAAATTGAATAGTTTGGATTCAGGTACCGTATTTTTCGCTCTATAACACGCACCTGACCATAACACGCACATCGTTTTTAGAGGAGGAAAACAAGGGAAAAAATATTCTGAATGAAA